AGCCGCCGTACACCCCGGACTGGCGCATGACCCTCAAGACCATCCGTAACGGCGTGCACCGAATCGACGTCTACCTCAACGCCGCCCTGGACCTGCTGGGCGGCGAGGACGGGCTCTGCCAGTACAAGTGCGGCGACGGTAGGGGCAGCGGAGCGGCCGGGCTCTTCCCTCGCTGGGAGCCGGGCAGGCCCGTTTGCGCCGATTGCGCGGCGCAGTGGCGCGCTCCATGTAACGTGTGCACGGGGCCGGCGCGGGAGCGTCGCTTTTGCCCGTGTGTGTGGGGCTGGTGCGCTCGGTGTAGCGTGTGCACGGGGCCCGCGTGCCATCGTTGGTTTACGTGTGTGGCCAGTCTCAAGGTGTTGTGAATGGTGTACCCGATCTGAATAGTGCACGAGGGAGCTGCGGGCTCCGTGTAAGGTGTGGCTGTGATCCTCTTTTGCCCGTGTGGCCAGTACGAATGTGTTACTGGTGCGCTCTCCGTAATGTGCAGCAGGGGCCCTTGCGTGATCATTGTTTTGCACGTGTGGCCAGTTGTGCACTGGGCCAGTGAATGGCGTGGTCGTTGTTTTGCCCTTGTGACCAATCTGCAGAGCCTCCCTAAGGGTGCCCGGGGCATAGCCCATGCAGGGCCAGGGTGGCGAGCCAGCAGTACGCAGCAGCTGCTGTGGGGCCTGTACAGCACTGTCCGCAGGGACTGGGGCGGTTGCCCTAATTCGCCCCCCTCTAGGGATGGCCCTGCTGCTCTGAATGTATTGCAGGATGAAATGGTGCGCTCTGTAAGATGTGGCTGGGGCTGTCATGTGATCGTTCGTTTACATGTGTAGCCAGTCTGAATGTATTGCATGCCAGGCTAGTGAATTGCATGATAATTGTGTGACTTTAAAGCAGGGGTGGGCAAAATGCAGCCTGCGGGCCGCATGTGGTCTGCCAGGCCAACCTGTCCGGCTCGCGGGGCCCCTAAAAACTTTAGAAAATTAATATTTATCTGCCCCTGGCTGCCTGTCACGCAGCCCTCAATGGCTTGCCAAAACTCAGTAACTGGCCCTCCGACCGAAATAATTGCCCGCCCCTGCTTTAAAGCATGATGGACCAGTCAGTTACGTAATATATGTAAAATGTAGTAGGGAACATAGTGTGATACTTGCTTTGAATGTGTGGCTGGTAGGATTACGCTGCATGATGAACCGGTGGATTGTGTGATAATTAGTTTGTACAGGGTCCAGTCTGAATTTACTACATGATGGACCAGTTGATTGGGTAACATGTGACAGGGGCCATTGTGATACTTATTTGCACGTGTGGCAGTTTATAAGACCAGAGACTTCTGCAATAATTGCTTTGCACGTGTCACCAGTCTGAATGTATTACGTGATAAACCAGTGAATTGTGTGACAATTACTTTGCACGGTGGCTGATCTGAATTTATTGCATGATAGACCAGTCAGTTGCGTAAGATATGCAGTGTGTAGCAGGGGCCTTTTAGGCAGCTTCGAGCTGATTTTGGGGACTGCAGTTGCCAACTGTACACACCACTGCGGCGTCCCTGGTTAAGAATTGCTTGCGTGGTGTGTTGGGATGCAGGTGGCAGTAGCCACCTGCCCCTGACAGTGCCTTGGCGGTTCTGCAGATAGGATTGGATGCATCTGCTTTCTGATGCTGGCCTTCTGTCTTGCACAGCTTCCCTGCTGTGTCAGGGAAGCAGGCCTGTTTGCTATGCCCAGAGAAAGATGGGCCTAGGCTTGCCAAGGGAACTAGAAGCCTCCCTTAATCAGGGAGGCCAAGTGAAGGCATTGATTGCTTGGGACAGCTGATGAGAAAGCAGGGTGGATTTGCACCTTATAGATTAACCAAATTAGATCTATATGTAGCACAAGCTTTCCTGAGCTGAAGCTGACTTCATCACGTACTGTGGAAGGGAATGTAGAAAGCTCTCTCCCCTTCTTTTTGTATTCTGATTTCTGTCTCCTTATACTCTGCTTTCTATACAGTCCTTTCACAGTATTGGAGGGATTAAACTTCAGCTCACAAAAGCTTCTGCTATATATGACGCTGATGTGTAATCCTTTGGTTTACTTGGTTCTAGTTCAGCAACCCCAAGTGAGTGTAGTTATGTAGTAACACGGCAGTCTTTTGCAACACTCTTTAAAGCGACCATTGTACTCCCACTGTTACTGGTTGCATCAGATGTAATTCAGTACTGTCATGATTTCAAGCATCTCATTACAGAAGGATTGGATACTTCCGGGAATAAACACTAATCTGAGAATGGATATTGGCTTTGCTAGGATGTTATTAAATTGCCTGAAACTTCCCTCAGTATAGTCAGGTAAATGACTTCGGCCACAAATGCAGGCTTCACAACTTGAAACTATTTTCGTGTAAACTTGAAAAACGGAAGAAAAATATGTAACAGGAATTAATCAGAAATTTAAATTCACATATGTTATTTACTGTGTGAGAATTAGGTTAACTAATTTAATTTTGTGCTGTGGGCTTCATTACTTGCCTGAGAAGATCAGGAAGGACTTTTCCCACCCCCTACACCCCCCACCTAGATGACACTGTACACTTGGTAGTGTGTCATATGCAGGGATTCACTTTTTATGTCTTTAGCCCCTGATGATTTTCCATTGCATGAAACCGGTAATAACTGGAGTAGTGCAAAGGCAGCTCTAGAAACTATTTGTAGATGTAAGATATTTTGGCCTAGGCTTCTCTCATGGTAGTCTTACCGAAGAATGTGTTTTGTCTGATTGTGTTGGAAAGTTTTTTGAAATAGTCTCAGCTTAGACAGTCTTAAAAGACATGTTTTAATAAATTCTAAGTCCCAAGTAACCTTTCTTGTTTTCACTCAGTGAAGCTCCTTTTGAGGGTGAAACTGAGGGTGCAAGGGGTGTACATGCAGATTTTTTGGTAGTGAAGTGTTAGGGTGATCTCTGGTGTATCTCAGGCCACCATGAAGTGTGTCCTACTCCCACCTCATTCATTATATGCACCTTGTCCATACAATCCCTCCTTTAGAAAGCTTTTCGTGGTTTGGTCTCAGATTCCAAAATACACTGAGCTGCATTGTTTTGCCCCATACTTTCCCTATTCTTACATACACACAAGTATCTTTTATGGCTCTTTCTGTTGTGCACTCTTCATAAAATGAACAGGGGTTTCACAAATAAGCAGGAGCTCTTCATTTTGTAGTCGTGTAAAAATTAGCAAAAATACTTGTGTCCTGTTCCCTTCCGTTTAGTAGGTGTGATGCCTTAGAAAGGAAGTTAGTACAGCTGCTTTGCTTATAGGTAAAAAGTATGCAACATTTAAAAAACCTGAAGTAAATTTATTTTTTTTTTTCCTGCAGGCAGGGAGTCTTGCTTTATCTAGAACAGTGGTTCTCAACCTTTTTGTACCAGAACCCATTTGTAAACATTGATGGCCAGTCCTGACCCAGTGCCCCTGACTCCTGACCCAGTGCCCTCAAGTGTGGGGGGCATTGGGTGGTCCCAGACAGCCCTTTGCAGCCTGGAAGTCTCCACCCTGCAAGGCAAAAGCTACTATCTCCCATGTTTTTCTCCTTTAGAGGAGAATCCATTTTAAAAGTTTGTTGATCCATTTTTAAAGTTTGTTTGCAACCCTCATATATTCTTGCAACCCACTTTTGGGTTGTGACCCGTGAGTTGAGAAATGCTGATCTAGAATATATGTGTAACTTTGAACCAAAATTGTTCAAACTTGAGTGCATAAAATAGATGCCTGAATAAAACTTGCTTTTTTTTAAAAAAAAAGGAATTTAGCACTTGCAGATGTACCTAATTTATAACTGAAGCACAAAACAAAAACAAAACTTATTTAGGGGGTTTTAAATTCCCTTTTATAGGATCAAAGCCTTTTCCACGTTATGGATATAAGCCTTCACCACCGAATGGATGTGGATCGCCAGTATTTGGAGTTCATGTGAGTTACTTTTTTTTTCCAAGCATTTTTCGTATTTACTCAGTCTTCCGTATTTAATCTTACTAGTAGTTAACTTAAAACATGCCCTCTTTGAACTTTCCATTCTAAAAATAGGAACAATGTGTGCACATGTTACTTCAGGGTGTACTTTGGAAGCATTTTAAAGAGGCTAGTTAATTGACAGGCTACCAGCTTGATGTTTCCTAATGCAGACTTTTTTTTAAATGTCCTACAAATAAGGATGCCTATCAGCGCTCATTATTTCTGCTCAGAAGATATGATCACTATCAAGGATTAAATACTTTTAATGCAGGGAAGACTCTGAAAACCTTGCAGTGCTCCAGTGATAGCACCCTGAACTGCCCTAAGATAATCTCCTGGTTCAGTTTCCACTTATACTTTCCATATTATTAGTGTTTAGCTTCCTTTTGGAGTACAAGTAACATGTTGATGGTGCAGCTGTACCCGGCCTTCTTTATGGGTTGCTTTGTATGGCTAGCACACCATTTTTATAATCACTGGATGAAATAGACTATTTTGGCGGCTGAAATACTAACTTTGAAAATTTTCTTTATAGTTTGACATTGGTATCCCCTCAATGACAAAGTGCTGTAATCAACATGATAGATGCTATGATACCTGTGGCAGTAAGAAAAACGAGTGTGATGAACAGTTTCAGTATTGTCTCTCCAAAATCTGCAGAGAGGTACAGAGAACATTGGGAATATCAGAAAGTGTACAGGGTAAGGCTGAAAAAAATGTAATGCAAGATATACTGACCAGATCTTTACTGTAGTTCTGTACAGAACAAGACAGCAGTGGTCTAAATGTGTACGTTTGTATGAACTGTGTAAATTACAATAATCGGGGAATAACACATTCATGTGAATTCACTTTTCCTCCAGTATTCTTATGGGAAGAGAATATGCCTGAGATATGCGTGTCAGGCTCTTATATATGTAAAGTTAATAAAAAGAAAGGGAAAAGGGTTGTTGTTTTTTTCTTGCATGTTTTAAACAACTAGTGATTGATCTCCTGCATGTAAAAAGCCCTAAAATATTTTGCCTTGCAATGAAATGCAAGTGAAAGTCTGTGAAAAGCACTAAGCTAATTGTTGAATCTTTCCAGGCTGGCACCTTAGGGCATTTATACACATACATTGGTCTGCTCCAATACGCTGGATATCCAGCACATTGGAGCAGGCTCGATTTAACCGAGTCTGCTCTGTACGTGAGCTGACGTGCCTGGTGGTGCAGCACATGCATTTGAATAAGTGGTGAAAAGTGCGTCAACACTGAAAATATGGCAGTGGTGCACTTTTGAACTAAAATACCTTCCATGTGTTTTAGTTCAAAAGTGTGCCACCGCCATTTTCTCAGTGCTGACACCTCATTTCGCCATTTATACAAATGTCTGCGCTGCAGCACCAGCATGTGTACAAATGCCCCTGGAGGCTAATTGGCTTAGAGGCATAAACTTTGGAGGCAACAACTTACTTAGATGCTAGATATCAATTCTTTTGCATTAAATGCATGGTTCCTACCTTCCTCCCCTCCCCCCTTAATGCTTATGAAAACTAGTGCTACACATTCATAAAAATAAATGTTTAATGATTAGCCATATTTGCGCTGTACAGTAATGAAGATAAATACTTACTGTTGCATTGGGTGTGGTCCATCTTCTAGAAGGGTTTTACTGTAAATTGCATGCATATATGAAATTGCTTCCCTTTACAAAATAAAGATCTTAAAATGATGTATAATGACACTGTAGGTAGAAAACAGTGCTGTATATGCACTCCTGTAGATTTTATCTGCAAATTCCTTTTACATTTTTTTTTCTGTAATAGAATTTGGATCCCACTCTGTTTAGAGTAATATCAGAGATGTTACCTATCCACATAACTGAGGTATAGATTAGACTCCCTGAGATATGGGGGAAGAAAGTTATTTTGAGCAACTATAGCATACAGTATAATTATCTTTAAAGCATGCTTTTTATTTTGGTGAGTAGTGTAGGTATTTCAGTGGGAATGCATAAGTTGGACTCCTTTCTGGTTAGGGGTCCAGTTATGCAAATGATCAGTATTTAGACTTCATAGAGAAGTAGGGCTGGAAGGGACATCCATATTTCATCTAGTCCAACCCTCTGCCTGAGATGGGATCATCCCTATCCAAGCCATCCCATGTAATCAGTAATCTAAACTCTGCAAAACTATCATCAACCCTGACACAAGACATAGCACCCTAACCTGCCATAGGTAAGGCAGGGGATCCATGGTAGCCAGTGTCTTGGTTTTATAAACAGATGTTAATATACACTCAAGAGATCCCAGGTGGATGGCCCATGCCCCCTACTAGAGGAAGACAAAAACCCCCACAGCCTGTATCCATATTTGACAAACACATGCCTAAGAAACAGGACCATCATGCTTCCTACTGTGAGTACTCCTATTGAGAGCAATCTGGCTGCAGAGTGGACCCTTACCTGGATCTTGCAGGGGTCTTTGATTGCGATTAAGTGTATGCATGAGCACATTTTGTTAGAACTGTGAAAGACATGATCCTCGCAGAGCTGGCATTAAAGCCAGAGGATATTCTGCATAAAAAGGGGGACATAAAACAGCAACACGAAGCTGTATACCTAAGATTAGCTTACTCAAGAACTTTTTTTTTTCCATACATAGTGAATGCAGTCAAGGTTAACTTTGTTTTGATATTCTAACTTTTAATAAAAGTGGGTTTAGATGTTGAAAAGACAACCTAAATGAATGTATGATCATTCTCTAGTCCCTGTAACATGCCATACTCACATGTGGGCCTAGGCAACCCATAAGCAGTCTTAACAAGAGACTCAGAAAAGTGTTAAGTTGGGTGTTTATCAAAGTTGCATTTTTTCATGTGATGAAGCTCCCAAAAGTGTTCTATAGCCATAACAAAACAAACATTCATGGCTGCAGAGTGCTTTTAAAATTAGTTGATTGTGCAGATATTTAACCCTTGTCTAATGTAGTATCAGACAGAGGTACTGTAGGGTATTGTGCCTTAGGGAACTTGCGTATGCAGGTTCCTCACGAGGGTTAGTTTCAGGCAGTTCTGCCCACAACCTATGTGGCTTTGCAGGCCTGTCACAAAGAAGAGACAGAAAACTGGGGGTGGGGGTGCAGGGAAGGGAGCCCCCTCTGCCACGCATGCCCCCTCTCTCCCCCCACTTCCTCTACTGGGGTCTTGGGGAGAGCTGGGCTGGGCCTCTGTAGCAGGGGGCTCCCTTCCCCTCGACCCCTGAGTGAGCGTCTGCACAGTGGCAGCTGTTGCTGCCATGTCCAGAGCTGGGGGGAGGGAAACGGAGCCCCCTGGCCTCACGGGCCCAGCCTGGCTATCCCTCCTGGGATCTTCAGGGGAGCCAGGCTGGGCCCGCAAGCCAGGGGGGCTCCATTTTCCCCCTTTCCCCACCCCAGCTCCGGAGAAGCGTGTGTTGGGTTCAATGGCGCTCTAACTCATGTTGCATTGTGTAAACCACCCTGGTTATAGTGCCTCCCCTACAGGCTGCCTAAACTTTTGTACGCAGCCTAGCTGTTTCATTTTTTCACTATAGGAGCGTGTTTAATCCCTATAGTAAACTGATCTCCCTTTGTCTTGCAGCCTGTGAATCAACCGTTCAGCTGGTGTTTGATGCAGTCATACATTTAGGATGTAAACCATACCTGGATAGTCAGAGAGCTGCCTGTATGTGCCAGTATGAGGACAAGAGAGACCTTTAAAAGAAGATACCAGAAACCTTACGAACTAGAACTGTGTGAAAGGCTCAGCCCGAGCAAAAGAACCAGCATTTTGTTACAAGCTGTTTTATTTCATTTTTGTGAAGTGTAATGTTGGTATGAAAGTGGATCTGTTTTCACAGGGACATTGGGTCTTTTTTTTTTCCCTCATTTTAAAATGTGTGTCTGCTTAAGCCGTCCGTTCTTGAAGCTTGTTACTGAAAGCAGCATCCTTCTGTACTTCCACACAAGCTTCTGGTAGGGCTGTTGATTGAATGCTACTGAAAATTACTGATGCCTTTTTACTTAAAACAACTCTGCACACATTTGGTGAGAAATGTATTGGGAACGTGAAAACAGTACAGACTTCAGGCTTTTTTTTTTTTTTTTTTAATAGGTCAAATTTGGAGGTTAAGCAGGCCTTAAACATCTAGTGTATCTTTGAAAGGATCTTGCGAGTTCAATATTTGATCTTAAATGTTTTGCACTTTTAAGCTGTTGGTGGAATATTACTGTGATTAACTGACTTCTGTTTTTCTACTTTGATTGTATACCTTGCCATGTTTGAATTGACTAGATGAAACCCTTTAGTGATGACATACAATTAAGCCAAAGAGCCTTACTGTCTGCTTATATTCCCAGCTTACTCTGCAGCACTTCTCAGATCCATGTGGGATACTTTCAAAGCTTGTGTTGCAAAACCGGACAGTTTACAGCCGAAAAATATGCAAGGTGACACTTGATCTGATGATGCTGAAACACAGCTGTAATTTTATAATTAATTTCAAATAGATGGTATTTTTAGATCAAATGTAATTATTTTTGATTATTTCTAACAGGTATATTTGTTTATACATAGCAAAAGATACATCTTGGTCTGTTCAGAGGGTGATTTATATTTGTGTTGTGTTGACTATGTTACTGTCTTCATCTCTTGGCTACTCTTCACCTTATCTATATTCTTTTTCATAAAAAATTAAAAATATTTTCATAACTTGCAGTCTCTCAGTGTTTCCATCTAGTTGGACAAATGTGCTAAAGACATCTTCATGTAATTGTATTCCTTCTACAGAGTTAACAGATCTTTGATTCCTAACTGTTCCCTCTGGGACATAAACAGCTTATTTAGTTTAACCGACCTGAGCTATCTGTAGTAGGTTATTTTGTTTTTTTTAAAAAGCAAGAACTTCACCAAGAAATTTATGATATTTCTTTTTATCTGCAGCTATCAGACTTTTGTAAGGTGTTTGATATCAACTTCCAAATCTATGACCAGTTATCAGGTATTGTTGCTCAATGTGCGACCCCATTTGGGCATTTGTGAAGATTGCAATTTTTGATTAAATGCTGTGCTGTTTGTTGGATACCACATTTGCGCAAGGGGCTGTCCAAGATGTTCATCTTTTATAAAGTGTTGTTTTGAAGCATCATCCAGATCTCAGTCTGTTCATATTGACCCATGCTTCTCTGTCAAGGTTGTACCTGATGGAGGACTTGTTTGGTGTTGGTATAATATGCTGTAGGAATAGATGTAACCTTTTCTAGCAATAGGTCTACTCCATTGCTGCCCATAGGTTCACTTTAATATCTTCCAGGAGCTTCTGGACTTCATGTACAAATGATTTGTGACTTCTAAGCCTCTTAAGCTTCCATCTGTTTGAGTCTTCAGTTAACATGGGGTATGTGACTTTTTCATCATCTCTTGCCTCTTTTGCCAGTAAGGATGTTAGGGTGTGTCTTCTTATATCACTTGTTCTAATGCTTAAGAATATGGGGAGTACATCTGCATCTGTGTTAGGTTTTGCAGCCTGTTGTGAGTCATGGTGCACTGTTTAAGTAGTGTTGAATGTCAAGCTTTCTAATGTAACAACTTCTGAACCATACAGGAGCACAATATCCTGCTGGGGTATATACCATTGCAAGTACGGTGGTTCTGAGCACTTTGAAGTTGGCACCCCATGTCAGGCTGGCTAAATATCTTAAGACAACTACCCATGCAGAAACTTTACTGACCTTCTGGATGTGACATTTATAGGTGAGGCAATGGTCTGATAAAACTCCTAGGTAGGTTGGGGTATACTCATGGGGAAGGATATAGTAACCTACTCTGATATTTTGGCATGATCTTGGCTCAGCGACTGTCCAGGTGGAAGAGTGACAATATCGATTTTATTGATGCTCAACTTTAAGCACCACTTGTGAAGATTAGCCAGCGTTGAGTTCCATGTCAGTATCTTTTCCAGTTCTGTCATGTCTATTCCTTGAGCTACTATGGCAACCTTTTCAGTGTACATGTATCAATCAGACTTACTGATAACTTGCAACAAATCCCCGTGTCTCTGCTAAGACTTCAACTTTCACTTCAAGTTCTGTTTTAATTTTTTTTTACTCCACTTGTTTGTGGAATCCTAATGTACACTATTTCCTTGAAAGACGAAGGGAAGCAAACAGCCTAAAATTGCTTGATGAGTTGGGCTCAATTCTGTTAGTGCTTTTCTTTGATTTATAGAGTGATTGAGTAACTGACATCTACTTACTTCCTCTGGAATTAGGACAGTTTTTTTTAAGTGCCTACTAAGGTATTATGAGTCATGTTTTCAGAAACTTCTGCTTTGAAAATGTTTTCTAATGCATGGTGTGATACAGTGCATCTTGCTGATACAGAAGTGTTCCTACAAAAAGAGGGTTAAACAGTTTTTTTATTCTGTGTGTGTTTATTTTTTAAATGTATGGTGTACTGTGGCTTACTAGGATTGTATGCGTTATAATTTTTAATTCCAGCATGTTAGTTTATTAAGCATTTTGCCCTCTTAAAATTGGAGAAGATGACAGAGTGCTTTGGAATAGCTGAGTTTAGGTTTCTAACTTAATTTATTCAGAGCTAATCTGCCTGTTGCCAGTTCCCAGACTATCATCCATACCACAGCAGTGAGCAAGAACACAGAAGCTGCCTCATGTAAAACACCTATTTAATCAAAACAATGAATATCTGTTATAGTTATAAACTAAGTTGGATATGTAAGATCTTATTCGATGTGCTTGACTAGGCATATAAAGAGTTGAGGGCCTGTCTACTACTGCATCCTGCAGTTGCTATGTGAAAGCATTTCAACAAACAAAAGGCAATATCAGAATACTTTGTGGGGGGGAAATACCTTCAATACTGGTAAATAGTAAGTGAATGTTTTAGTGGCTTGAAAAACTGCCTGCAGAGCAAAGGTAGCCTTTCATTTATTCTGGAGTCTGAGAATTTCTGCTCACAGGGACCACGTTTTTGTTCTAACATGTAATCAACAATGAGTTGAGACTCATTTTCAGATTCAAGGCATCCCTCTGAAGATACCAGCTCTTAGGTTTTGCAATTTTTGACTGGAAAAAATAATAAGAGCAATTATATTTTGTGGCAATAAACTCAGACCACAACAGCTCAGAATGCTTTTAATACAATGGGTTCCTACACACAATTTCTGGGGTTTATCTTGTAAGTTATGTGTAAGTGTTTGTACACCTAATGCTGCTAATGTTGTATGGTACCCTTAAAAGGATCTCTCAGCACCCCAGGATGTCATGGCATCCTGGCTGAGAATCACTGCCATAAAAAAATACCAAAACAGAAAACACAAGTTAGTTAAAGTTACCTCAAATCGTTTAATAACATAGTTAACTAAATTCCCTGCTGTTCCCTACTTGCAAATAGTCAAGAGTAATGCTAATTGATTAAGGACACCCTTTTTTCTTCAAGTTGAGGCATGAATCTAAATTCCACACAAACTAGCTAGAATGTGGAATGTAAATATTTTGTGGAAAATATTTTCCATAGAGTTGAAACTATTTGAACAAGGCCGAGCTCGTTCCCCTTTTCAGGAGATCCAAGAAGTAGTTGCCTGCCAAGATACAAAAACAAAATACTACAAGAAGTCCAATAGCATTTTAGTTCATGTGGTATCTAATATTTTAATCCTGTGCTTCAGTCCCTGCCCGTGTTTTTTGGGTAGGTTCTAGGCCTGTTTTATCTCATGCTAAACCAAAACGCATAGCTCCCTGAGGCATTAACAATCATGCCTGTCTGCTATAAACCATTTTAAACCTGTCTATCAACATTTCTAGGCTTTACTAAAATATTGCTTCCCTTTTATTAGTTCAAACTGGAAAATACTGACACATTTGGTACAGAAATTGACATGCCTAGTAGCTATACTGGCAGTTTTAAAAATGTATTACACATAGGGTACATCTACACATGCAATTAGCGCACATGAATAAGCGCTGGAGTTTTTTACACCCAGGCATGCTGTTTGAACATGTGCTCAGGCACAAGCTGCTCCAGAGTTTATTCGTGCGCAGCACATGAAACCTGGTTGGAGCAGCCCTGGCTCATAGGGGGCCAGCCTGGGCTCAGTGTGCTGTGGAGGACTGGCTGGGGCACAAGGATGCTCCAGCGTAGGGCAGCCCCCGCACTAAAGCACCCTTGTGCCCCAGCCAGCTGGGTCAGCATCTACATGTATGATGCTGCACAAAAAAAAAAAAGCCCCACAGCAGGGTATTTACAAGTCCTACCCTGCTGTGGAGTTTATTAGTTTTCTGCATCCTAATAGGGGGTGCATGTGTAGATGCTGAGATGTTTACTGAAGAGCTAGTTAGTCAGCTCTGCAATAAACATCATGTGCAGATGTGCCCACTCTTATCTTAAACACATACACAAATGCACGCACTATATCACTGCAGCTGCTAACATACAGAATAATTGTAGCTTAGCCTTTTTAAAACTATGGTTCTGATAGGTGAGTAGCAAGAATTGGGATCGGCAGTATACAAGATTTTTTTGGCATGAAAAAGTCTCTCTGGTGAAACGTACTGAATTCACATGATCAGCATAATTTTTTTTGGACCAAAGGCAATTTAAACTACAACTTGATTATGCTTTGTTCTAGCCTGCCTCTGCCAGTCTGATGATAGCAAGTCAAAGCACAGAGCTGTTGCGTATTATTGTGCCTAGATAAGAGGAGGGTAGCTGTGTTAATCTGAGGTCAAGCAGAAGACAGGGCAGGATGATGAATTTAGAGCAGGGATGGGCAAAATCTGGCCTGTGGGCCAGATCCAGCCCACAGTGGACTCAGTTTCCCAGCAGTCCCTCTGGCAGCAACTCCTTTTGGCTACTACCACCAGCCTCAGCCCCACTGCCAGACCCGGATCCATTGCCTGGGCATCCTAGCCCATCCACCCCACACACACTGCTGGGTGTGGGACTCGTGCAAGCCAGATGTGTGGCCATATGGCTGTGATGGGGCCCTGGCTGGGAGCAAGACTGACAGGCATGGCCAGGGAGATCCCAGGATCTTGGAGCAGTAACAGTGCAGACCTGGGGCTGAGCCAGAGCTGTGATGTGCTGCACACATGCCCCTGGGATGGACACAGGTTCTGTGGATTGGGGCGTGCAGCGAGTGGAGCGTGGTTCTGCCCTGGCTCTGCACTGTCACCATCCCAAGATCCCAGCCCTGGAGCAGCTCCCCACCCAGCTGTGTGCTGTGCTGGTGTGGCTCCTGGCCAGTCTCTAAGAAGACTCCAGGACTGCGGGGCCATGACAGCACAGGGCTGGGACAGACCCCCAGTTCTGCAGCCCTGGGATCACACAGTCCCAGGGTCTTTGTGGAGACTGGCTGGGGG